TTTACTTTTTTGGTACATGCCCCTAGCAGGAACCAAACCTGGGATTCTTTGGTCAACTGGGAGATGCTCCAAATGCTGAGCCAAACTGGCCAGGGTCCAAGAGAACAATTCAAAGGATCAATGAAACAAAGAGCTGGTTCTTTGAAAAGGTAAACAAGATTGATGGACCCTTAACTAGGCTCACCAAGAAACAAAGAGAGACAACCCAAATACACCAAATAAGAAATGAAATAAAAGTAACAACTGACACCACAGAAATACAAAGGATTGTTAACAAATACTATGAACAATTATATGGCAACAAGTTAGACAATCTAATTGAAATGAACAAATTTCTAGAAACACATAGTCTCCCAAAACTGAACCAGAAGAAATAGAAAACTGGAACAGACCAGTAACACCTAAGGAAATAGAGGATGTAATCAAGACTCTCACAGCAAACAAAATCCCAAGCTCAGATGGCTTCATGGGGGCATTTTACCGAACATTCAATGAAGAACTAAACCCCATTGTCCTCGAAGTATTTCAAAAATTCAAGAAGAAGGAAGACTTCCAAACTCATTTTATGAGGCTAGTATAATTCTAATTCCAAAACCAGAAAAAGACACTACAAAGAAAGAAAACTACAGGCCAATATCCTTGAGGAACATAGATGCCAAAATCCTGAACAAAATACTAGCTAACCAGATCCAGCAATACATCAAAAAAAATTATTCACCATGTCCAAGTGGGATTCATTGCAGGGATGCAAGGATCATACACTATGTGCAAATCAACAAATGTGATACACCACATAAATAAAATGAAAGATAAAAACTACATGATCATATCAATACACACTACAAAAGCATTTGACAAAAGCAAGCACCCATGTTGAAAAAAACACTCAGCAATGTGGAAATAGAGGGATCCTATCTCGACATAATAAAAGCAATGTATGAAAGACTTACTGCCAACATCATACTCAGTGGGACAAACTAAAAGAACAGGAACAAGACAGGCATGGCCACTTTTGTAACTCTTATTTAACATAGTACTGGAAATCTTAGCCACAGCAAGCAGACATGAAAAAAAATTAAAGAGATCCAAATTGGAAAGGAGGAAGTTAAACTGTCATTATTCACAGATGACATGATATTATACATAGAAAACCCAATGACTCCATCAGAAATCTACTAGACTTGCCCTGGCCGGTATGGCTCAGCGATTAGAGCATAGGCCTGTGGTCCAGAGAAACCCGGGTTCAGATCCCGCTAAGGGCACGTACCTGGGTTGCAGTTTGTCCCTGGCCCTGGTTGGGTCATGCGGGTAGCAACCGCTAGATGTGTCCCTTTCATGTCAATGTTTCCCCACCTCCCAACACTCTATCTGAACAAAATATCGAAAAATGTCCTCAGGTGAGGATTAGAAAAAAAAAAAAAAAAGAAATCTACTAGACTTAATAAATAAATTTGGCAAAGTAGCAGGATAAAAAATTAACTTAAAGAAATCGATAGCATTTTTTTTACCTTTCTTTTATTAATTTATTTTTGTTACAGATGTTTCTCCTTTTCCCCCTACTGATTGCCTCTTCCCCCTCCCACCCGGCCCTGTCCCAGCTTTCCTGTCCATATTCATGGTTCATGCATACATGCTTATAAGTTCTGTGGTTTATCTCTCCCCCACCATCCTCTCTTCTGGGATTTGTCAGTCTGTACCCCACTTCCACATCTCTAGGACTACCCCATTCCTCAGATTCTTATGTTCATTATATTCGACAAAACAGTGAGATCATGTGATATTTGTCTTTCTCTGTTTGGCTTGTTTCACTTAGGATAATTTTTCCCAGGTCCCTCCATGTCGTCTCAAAGGATAAGAGATCTTTCTTTCTTACAGCTGCATAGTACTCCATTGTGTATGAGTACCACAACTTTTGTATCCATTTGTCTACTGATGGACATTTGGGCTGTTTCCAGATCGTATGTAATGTAAATAGTGCTGCTACGAACATGGGGGTACATATATACTTTCTGATTATACACCAATGATGAACTCACAGAAAGAGAAACTAAAAAAAAAAAAAAAAAATCCCATTTTTCCATGGCAGCAAAAAAATTAGGATACCTAGGAATAAACTTAACCAAAGAAGTAAAGGATCTATTTGCAGGAAACTACAGGACATTGAAAAAAGAAATAGAAGAATATATAAAAGAGTAGACGTACATACCTTGTTCATGGATTGGAAGAATTAACATCATTAAAATGTACATACTACCCAAAGCAATCTATAGATTCAATGCAACCCCCATCAAAATACCAATGACATATTTTACAGAACTACAACAAATATTTCAACAGTTCATATGGGAATGAAAAGACCTCGAATAGCCACAGCAATCTTGAAAAAAGAAGGACAAAGTAGATGGGATCAGGTTATACTACACAGCTACTGTAATCAAAACAGTCTAGTACTGGCACAAGAACAGGCAAATAGATCAGTGGAACAGAACAGAGAATCCAAAAATTGACCCAAGACATTATGCTCAATCAATATTTGACAAAGGTGGCAAGAGCATACCATGAAGTAAAAACAGCCTCTTTAATAAATGTTGTTGGGAAAACTGCACAGCTACATTTAAAAAGATGAAGCTAGACCACCAACTTCCACCATGCACAAGAATAAACTCAAGAGGGATAAAAGACTTAAAAGTGACTCGTGTATCCATAAAAATCCTAGAAATAAATGTAGGCAACTAAATTTCAGACATCACACACAGCAGAATTTTCACTGATACATCACCTAAGGCAACAGACACAAAGAAAAAAATGAACACATGGGACTACATCAAACTCAAAAGCTTCTGCACAGGAAAAGAATTAACCATCAAAGTGGAAAGGAACCCACTGTATGGGAGAGCGTAATTGCCAATGATGCATCAGATAAGGAGTTAACTTCCAAAATATATAGAGTACTCATACAACTCAACAACAGGAAGACAAAGAACCCAATTAAAAAATGGGCAGAAGACCTAAATAGATACCTCTCCAAACAAAACATACAAATGGCCAAGAGATATATGAAGAAATGCTCAACATCACTAATCATGAGAGAGATGGAAATTAAAACAACAATGATGTATCTCCTCACACTTTTCAGAATGGCTGTCATCAACAAATCATCAAACAACAAGTGTTGGCGAGGGTGTTGAGAAAAGAAGACTCTAGTACACGGGCATGCAGACTGGAGCATCCACTATAGAAAACACTGTGGTGTTACCTCAAAAAATTTAAAATTGAATTGCCATTTGACCCAGTGATCCCATTTGTAGGAATATACCCAAAGAAGCCAGAAACACCAATCAGAAATAATATATGTACCCCGTGTTCATAGCAGCGCTATTTACAATAGCTAAGATATGGAACCAGCCCAAGTGTCCATCAGTAGAGGAATGGATAAAACAGCTGTGGTACATATACACAATGGAGTACTATGCAGCTGTAAGAAAAAAAGATCTCTTAACCTTTGAGACGACCTGGAGGGACCTGGAGAGTATTATCCTAAGTGAAACAAGCCAAGCAGAGAAAGACAAATATCACATGATCTCACTTATTTGTGGAATATAATGAACATAACAGTCTGAGGAACAGGGTAGACCTATTGACATGGAAGTAGGGTACAGACTGACAATCCTCAGAAGAGGGGGTAAGGGGAAGGGAGGAGATAAACCACAGAACTTATATGTATGTACGTATAACCGATGGACATGGACACAAAGCTGGGGATCGGGTGGTGAAGAGTGGGGAGGAGGGTGTCAATGGGAAAAAAGAAGAAACATCTGTAACAACAATGAATTAATAAAAAAATATATATATATATACACACTATAAAATTAAGGTAATAAAAAATTTCCACTTCCAATTTCAGGGAATGCTGTCTAATGTTTTGTAAGATAACAGGGGTGTGGTATGAGTCAATTGCCTTAATTACTTTAAATTCTAAGGAAAACTAAACAAAATTCGTTTATATCTTTTCAAGGAAGAAGAATTTCCTAACAATTGAAACAACACTGGAGTAACCCTCCTCTCTTCCAGTGCTCAGGAGGCTGCTGTGGTGTCTGTTACCCCTGCTGGGGACAGTGCTATTGGCAATGGGAGAATCTGTGCTCTCAGCATCCACTTCACTCACCTGCCCTCTGCATCAAAGTGATCTGGGAAAGAGTTGATTCCCTGATGGCCATTCTCATTGTTCCTCTCCTGAGCACCTGCTGGTTCTTTGTAAGGCATGTGTGGACTGGGCTCCCTGACTTTAATGCATTTCTGTGAGAGACTGAGCCTCCTGGGAGGCCCAGGTGGCAGGGAGGGTGGAGCTAGGCCACATTCACACTCTGGCACTTGACTCTGGAAAACAGCTGCTGCTTCCAGCTGGTGCTGCACCTTGATCCCTCACAGCCCAACCCTGGGTACCAGGTGTCCATTCTCACCCCTGGATGTAAAGTCCTGCTCCACTGCAAGTCCTGTTTAGGGCCACTGATGGTGGCTGAGCACTCACTACCCATCACCCAGCCCTCCAAAGCTGCTGCTGGGTCCTCCAACAATTTGCAATGTTTAGGAACTGTGGATATGAGACAGGGAAGGGCTACAGAGATTTTCAGAAAAAGGTGACATGAGGGAACCAAACCATCAAAGCTTGCACCCTGAAAGTATAATGAAATACAACAAAAAATGAAGTTACAGTGGAAAAATCTAACACTTTAAAAACCGGAAACCAAAGAGTGGAAGGAATCATACTATTTGAAACATCTTAGGCAATCCCAAAGACAGAGCCAGTGAATCAGAAAGTATCCCTATGACCTACTCCTACAAGGTCTCCACAAGAGGTGGAGGAAGAAAGAAATCAACAGGACAAACATCTTTTCACATGTTGATTAGAGCCCTTTAAGCCATCAATGGGAGAGAAGCAATGTGAGGAAGAGTCTGTAACCAGAAGCAGAGATTTGAGAAATCCCTGCTACCTGAGCTCTTCACACACACATCCTGATTAACTTCTCCAACCTTAATACCTCCCAGTTCTACCCAAACAGATACTCCTCGGTCTGTCAGTTGACAACAATTATATTCTCTAAAATTCCTTTATGTTTTCCACTCATTATTACCCAGTCAAGGTGGAAGAGATGCAAGATGAGGCATTACTCAAAGGGACAATAAGAATTTTCTCCTAATTATGAAGTCAAACAAGGTGATCTGAATGTGGGAATGGATTTTAAGAACTGCCAAATTACATTTGAGACAGAGTTAATGCACCTTCAAACAAGACATTTTTTTCTGCGTCCAGGTGCTTCTCCACAGCCAGAAAGGCAGGCTCTAGTGGCCTCCAGCACAGGAAACGAAGTGATGATGCTGGAGGCTGTGACAAATGAGCAGTCTGCAGGCAAGAGACACATTCTGACTGGCTGTCTCCATACAGCTGCCCACTGCCCAGAGAGTGCCTGGCCAGCCTGAAGGTGGCGTATTTTCCTTCTCTACACAAAAGCTAAGGAAGTGGGTTTAGTCAAATATGAGGGCCAGTTCTATTAGGACAGGGCCTCTTTGCAGCTTGAAGAAGTAGGTGGAAGGTACCAGACTTTTTTCATAGAACAGAAGCAGCCAGCTCTCTGCAGACTTTGTGGATGTCTTGGCCTGTCTTGGCCAACAGGTGGCTCTCTTCCGGTGTAAACATTGTGAGAGTCTTCAGGGTGAAATGGATCTGACTCTCCTTCCTTATAGCTACAGCTAGGATTACATCATTGTAACAGGGACATTCCTCAGTTCAAAAACTACTCATCAGAAGGAAAGAAATCATCTTTTGTAGCAGTTTCTGAAAAACTGAGAACTTTCACTCAAGTTTGCTTTGAATTGGTGGTTTTGTACTCTTAAAGGGAAATTGTTGGCTGGAAACCACAAAGGGACAGGAAGCAGCTGGATGAGTGAGCAAGCAGGTGAAGGGAGAGAGAAAGAAAGAGCACTCTGGGCAGTTCCTCATTGCAGTGCAAGGAAAGCACTGTGATATGGGAATAGAAGAAGGTGACTCAGAGAAGGAGGAGGGACGGCAAAGTGTGCCAGGTATAATTAGTACACACGACGTATGTTTCACTTCAGATTAGGAGACCTTCTTCTCTTCCAGATAATTATGCAAGCCACCCTTTCCTAACTAAATATATACATCAGATTTAACTTCAATGTGAAAAGTGACTATACTTTAGTGTTGTTCGCAACACTTCCCAGAATTTTGTTAATTACACTGTATATTTTGGTACTGTGAGGTGAGAGAGTTCACTATTCTGATACATTTTATACAAAAAAGGTAAGAAAATAGGTACCATGTTTAAGTCCTAACAGTGGAATATTATTTATGTGTTTTAAGATGTTTTAGTCTGTTTAATACAGTAACTCTAATAAAATCTCTACCTTTGTTTACATTGGAGAACACTGAGGCTTGGAGTAGTCAACTGAATTTTCCAGAAGCACACAAAACTGCTGCAGAATCAAAATTAAATTCAGAATCTTATATTGCATACATAGGCAATTGAAAAGTGTCATATTTTAGATTCCATTATGTTTTAACATATAGTTTGATAACAAATTTAAAGTCCGTTGTCTTCTTTTATTATTTATTTGTTTATTTATTTATGATTTTATTTTATTTTATTATTATTATTTTTTTTTATCCTCATTCGAGGACATTTTTCCATTTTTTGTACAGACAGAGTGGGAGGGAGAGAGAGGAAGAGAGAGAGAGGGAAACATCGATGTGAAAGGGACACATCGAGTGGTTGCCACCCGCACGACCAACCAGGGCCGGGGACAAACTGCAACCGAGGTACATGCACGTAGCAGGAACCGAACCCGGGTCTCTCTGGACTGCAGGCGGACGCTCTAACCGCTGAGCCAAACCGGCCAGGGCTGATTTTATTTTTTTATTGCTCACCTGAGGATATATTTTCCATTGATTTTCAGAGAGAGTGAAAGGGAAGGGGAGAGAGAGAGAGAAGAGAAAAGAGACAGAGACACATTGATTGGTTGCTTCCTGCAGGCACCCAGTCCTGGGGCCTGTGATGGAACCCAAAATCCAGGTAAGTGCCCCTGAATGGGAATGTGACTTGTGACTCTTCAGTGCATAGGCCTACAGCGTAATCACTGAGCCTTGCTGTCCAGGGCCCTTGTCTTCTTTTCAGTGGTGCATCCTTTTGTTTTTATTTTACCGACTTTCACCGTTCTTTACTTTGGATATGTGGAGTGGAAATTCCTTGATCTAGTCTCACTCTTTAGTCCTTTTGAAGGAATTGTCCCAGATGAATATACACATTGGAATTTATTTTCTGTGCCTCCCCAAGAACCAGTGATTTTCATAAAATTGATGCTGCATACATTGTAGCTAAAATATCAGTTTAATCAGGAGAATACAAACAAAGTTAAAGAATGAGAAATCTTGGCATATTTATGTCCTCTAGAAAATGAAATGAGATTATAGTAGTGATACTAAAAACAATATCATAGAGGGAGACATTAGATATCTAAATTATTGAAGCACATAATCACTGAAAATGAATTATCTGTATCAATTAGATTTAAGAAAAAGGATATAACTGATATGACTATGGTGGAAAGAAGTTTTCAATAAAGAGTCCTAGGATGAGCGCTGGCCAGTTTTGCTCAGTGGTCAGAGCGTCAGCCCACAGACCAGAGAGACCCTGGTTTGGTTCCTGTAAGGGCATGTACCTCAGTTGCAGTTTGTCCCTGGCCCCGGTTGGGGTCCTGTGGGTGACAATCATTCTATGTCTCTCTATTACCTGGATGTTTCCCTCTCCCTCTTCTTCCCTCTCTTGTTCCTGCTCTGTCAGAAGATAAATGCAAAAATGTCCTCAGTGAGGTTAAAAGAAAAAAAGTCCTAGGATGATTAGTTAGCAATCTGGGAAGAAATCAATGAAAAATCTCATCTCACACTATAGGCCATAATAAAATTCTGGAGGAATGGGAATATGACAGTAAAATTAGATTTTTAAAAAGAGAACGGAGGCTCTGGCCAGTTTGGCTCAGTGGTAGGGCATTGGTCCATGGACCAAAGGGTTGTGGTTTTGATTCCAGTCAAGGGCAAGTACCTTAGTTGTGGTTCATCCCTGGTCCTGGTTGGCATCCTGTGGGAGTCAACCAATCTAAGTGTTTCTCTCACCTCTCTCTCTCTCTTTCTCTCTCTCCCGCTCTCTGTCTCTCTCTCTCACCTTCCTTCCCACTCTGAATGAAGAAATAGAAAAAGTATCCTCAGATGAGAACTTAAAAACAAAAAATAGAGAGAGAGAGAGAGAACACCCAGGTAACATTCTAAGCTCCTAAGAAATAGCTAACCCACAAATGAAATGTTGGTTATTTTAAAAAGTATATGAATTTGCAGTTTTTCATATGAAAGAAATCACAGCCACAGAGAGTTTCTGGCCAGGTGGCTAAATGGAACTGACCTCAAGATTTTCTAACCCAGAGACTAACAAAATAAAGTATATAACAAAGTAAAATATATAAAATATATTAGCAGCCATTAAAGACTGGAAGAGGAATAATATCTGAGATGTGTTGGGACATCAATGAGAGAGGCGTAGTGGGACAGTTGATTTTATGTGGCAAATAAGCAAGGCCACTGTACCCAATATTTGATCAAACATTATTCTGGATTTTTCTGTGAAGGTATGTTTCACCTGAGATGATAGGCATTTAATATTTAAATTAGTCAACAGTGAGTAAAGCAGATCACCTTCCATAATGTAAGGGGGCCTCATTTTGTCATTCATCCATAAATATAGTGACCACCCAAAATAGAAGGAATTCTGCTGACAGACTGCCTTTGGACTTGAAATGAAAGTCTCCTGAGGGTTTCCAACCCTCTGATTCTGTCTCTGGAAAAGCTGACTGATACAGTCTAGGAAATGATTGTTCCTGAGGATTGTCCATCTTGTAAATTTCTCTATCCTCCCCTCAGCCAGGGGAGAAGACCAGACAGCAAAGCACAAAAATCTGTGTAAATTTAACTCAGGGCCTGGGCAACCCCACATCGGGGAGCAGCAAATCCAAACACTGAGTGTGCTCCCTAATGAAGAGATGCTCCACACCCCGCAGTCGAAGGCCCTCCCTGCTCCCTTTGCCATCCACACATCCTTCCTGGAGAAACACCTCAGTGAAAAGATTGTGCTGATTATAGAAATCCCTTTCAAATTATGTCAAAATGGATACATTACACAACATACACTGTCACTAGTTCTCAAGTAATAGTGACCATTCATATTCTTTTTTATATTTTTTTATTTATTAATTTGTTTTTGTTTCAGATGTTTCTCATTTTCCCCCCCATTGACACCCTCCTCTCCATCCCCCACGTCCGATCCCTAGCTTTGTGGTCTATGTTATTGGCCATGCATACATGCTATTAATTCATATTCTTTAGTTTACATCAAATGTTGCTCTTTCACTACCTGGGCAGAGTTCTTACTACTGAGTGAAAGAGATGTCAAGATCATAATTCAACCACATTCAAGGAGAATATCATTCTCTTTAATAATGGTTAATGTCTGATATTAAGAATACATATGTGAAACAAAAATTTTACTATAGAGAGTTGCTGCGAGTTGAGCTCAAGGTCGAGACTGTCCATACATTCTTGCTCGTGGCTCAGAATGCTCTTGCGTGGGCCTTGCCAGCTTGCAGGATCAACAAGAGACCCTGGGCAGAATGTTACTGGGTAAGCCTTGCAAACACCACAGGTTCAACAAAAGATCTTGGTTCAGCCGCCCTCCAAACACAGCTGTATTTCTTTCCTTTCAGGTAGCTGCGGATTCCTTGGAAGTATTTCCGGATAAGAATTCCCAAATGGGGACAAGTCAGATTTTCTTCTTCCGCCAGCTGCAGGCGTTCCAGGCTGTGAGCAAGGTGAGAGAGTAGTTGAGAGAGGAGGGTCTGGTTCCACGCAGCACGGCTATCTGGCGTTAGGAAGAGGCTGAAGATCTGCTGGAGCACCACATGCTGCACACAGGTGCGTTGTGGTTTCTGCGTTTGGGTGACATTCCCCCTTTGCCAAGGACATTGGAAGTCGATTCTGTCATTCAGGCAAAACTGAGTGGGGATACGTTCCAGCTGTCTCAAAAGATCTAAGATTCTCCAGTTGTCTGGTTTATGGGTCCAAAGTCGATCCTCACCAAGAGAACAAGCAGGGATGGAGCTGAGCATCACTCCTGCCACTAGCCACAAGTAGACCTGGGTCATTGAGAAATCCCGTGACTCAGGGGACAACCGCCAGGGGGAGACACGCGGAGGAGTAGCACCGATTTCTCCGCGCTGGTTCCCTGGAAAGCGCGAGTCTCCCGCTGGCCGCAAGAGGGCGCGCGGAGGGCCTTTTCTGATGGAAAACGCTGACTCGGGAGCCTTCGTTTGCAAAAGGACTGGTCTCTGGCGAGAAAAGCCTTTGTGGCTCCGCGGAGCAACTAGATGCTGCTTTAATAGTGCGCCTTCGGTTCGGAGGACCTGACTGCTGAAGACTGAGCTGTGCCTGGGCCTGGGCCTGGGCCTGGCAGGGCACTTTGGTCTTAGGAACCAGGCACATGAGCTCGCCTTTCCAGCGCTTTGGCAGGAGTTTGGTGCTTTCCTTTCGCAGGGAAATTCTAGTGAGGCCATTTGTACCAAGAATCCGTTCACTGAGGGCTTGACGGCTGGGAATTGGAGCGTGTCGGGCCCTTTTCACAGAATGGAGACAGTGTCCCCCCGCTGGATGCTCACGGACTCAGAGGCCGGATCGCGGAAACGCCGGGCGCGACTGCACCGCGCAGGGGACGCTGTGGACCTGAGTCTGGGCGCGGCGCTCAGGGGTCTTGAGGACAAGCCCCAGGCCCGTGTATGGGCTGCGTGACTTTTGTGGGTGTTTTTCCAAAGTGACAGCGTTACCGACCCGCGGAGTCAAGTATAGACAACTGCGAACTTTACAATGGCCTTTCCTTCAACTTTTCAAACTATTAGACTCTTTAACATAAATAAATGAATAGTTCTCTCCAAGGCAGGATTTGAAAACTATTTTAATAGGATACTACTCTTGCATTACAAATTAAAAATATGTAACTAGCCCTGGCCAGTTTGCCTCAGGGTTTGGAGCGTCGGCCTGAGGACCAGCGAGTTCCAGTTCGGTTCCCGCTAGGGACACCTGCCACACACACACACACACACACGTAAAAATATGGAACTATTACAAAGATATTAAGGTCACAGTTGAACTGTTTTGAGCATAAAACTACGAAATCTTACACGTTTAGAAATATTTAAATATTAGAAAATATCGATGTAAAATTTCAAAAAATTGACATAAAAATAATATTCTGTGACAATTTTTAAAATTCTTCCGTACTTTGATAGTGCATAAAGAAGACATCAGGCAGCTCCTAGTATGGTTTAGGTACTCCATTAAGCATGTACGCCAG